AACACACAAAAAGTAATAGCGTTCTTACTTACCAACAATGAACACATGAAGAAAGAAATTATGAAAACAATCTATTTCAAAATAACATCAAAAATTAAAAATACTGATATTTCAGTTACAGTTTTAGGGAAGATAGCTGCATTTGCATTTGTGTGAGGAAGGTGGCTATGGTCATGTTTGTCATTCAGTGTGAATTTTGAAAATGGAAGCGAAATTTTGTAAAAATTTTTGTTTGTGAACCAAGTTGTTTGCAAACAGAAGTGACCATGAATTGAGGCATTATTGTACTTTGAAATTATCCTGACCAAAGACCACTATAATTGAAACAATACTAACAGGAAAATGAAAATTTAAGTGGACATAAGAAAAAGGAAAGTCATCCCCTTTTCTTGGATACCCAGAAGTAATATTGTCAAACTGGTCATAATTCCAGAATTGATGTATAGGTTTAATGCAGCCCCAATCAAAAACTAATGACAATTTTCACTAGACTAAGAAAAAAATCCTTAAAAATTACATAAACCCAGAAGGAATGCAGAATAGGCAAGCAATCCTGGACAATAAAATCAAAGAAGGAGGTATCACAATCCCAGATTTTGAGGTACCTTACCAAGCATAATAAAAACAGAATAGTCTTAACACAAAAACAGATATGAGATTCAATGGAACAGAATAGATGGTGCAGAAACCTCCCAGCACATTCAGTCATCTGATCTTTCTTTCACAAAAAGACCAAAATCAGATGCTGTTGTAGGAAAGACAGCCTCTTTCTCAAATGGTGCTGGGAAAAGTGGTTACCCATGTGTAGAACACTGACTATAGACCCATAGTCCTCATCCTGTACTAAAGTTAGATCAAAACATATCAGACCTGGATATTAAAAGGGAAACATTGAATCTCCTGGAAGATAAAGTAGATAAAATTTGAAACCATAAGCGTAGAAAAGGACTCTCTAAACAGAACTTCATTTCATTAGAAATAACATCAATCATCAACAAATTGAATTATATTAAATTAAAATGCTTCTGCACAGCAAAATAAACATGCAACTGATTGAAGAGACAACTTATCAAAAGGGGAAAAAGTTGCTATTTGTTGTTTGAACGGAGGACTTATATCTGAAATATAAAAAAAACACAAACACTGTGGTACTCTCAAAATGAAAGACTCAATACAGTAATAGGCAACTGGAATGAACAGACCTTTCTGAGAAAGATAAGTACAAGTAGATAGTAAGTACATGAAATATGTTCAACACCATTGGCCATTAGAGAAATGCAAATCAAAACAACATTGAGATTTTGTTTTATTCCAGAAAGCGTGATTATGATCATCAACTCAAAAGCCACAAATAACTGGTGAGGCTGGCAGAAAAAGAAACTCTCTGGTATTTTGGTGGAAATATAAGATAGTGCAACCACTATGGAAATAAGTAAATAGAGATTTTTAAAAATCCCTAAAAAACAGAAATTTTAAATGACCCAGCACTTCCCATTTTGGGTATC